TGAAATTAATGGGAGTTAGGCACCTCAATGCCTTTGAGGATCTGGGCCTAATCATAACCAGGAGGCATAGCAGATAAATAAGGTACCCGTAAGTAACATAAAATACCACGCCATCGTTTTAGAACATATGGTAGATCTGCAGCTTCATGTTATGCTGCATTGCAAGAGCCATGAGCCAGTTACAGAATTCTCTCCCAGGCAATCAAAGCTCTTGTCCATTCAGCACTCATCCTTAGGATACTGTATGGAACCTTTCATGGATGCCCAGTGTTACAGAAGCCATAATACTTCACGCAGCTGAGAACATACCTGGGGACTCCAGATAATAAGAACCAAACAGACCAGCCTGTAGTGGATGAGCCTAGGTAGTGTACCTTCAGGAGGCACCATGAGATCAGACTCCAGGCTGATAGCTACAGGGCCCGAACTTTCTCCTGACTTCAGTACAGCTGCATCACTTACAGAACTGAGGCTCGGCCCATAACATTTATTTTACCTAAAAGAGGAAATGAAAATAAAAACAGGCTTATACTCTGGGGTAGAATTTGGCCCATTATAAACTGGTATTTCCATCATAGGTTCCTAGTGACATGTATAAACTATTCATACTTTAAGGAGTGTCATGTCATGTTAGGGAAAAGGCATTTTTAAATAAAAGTGTGTATAATTGACTTTAGTACATATTCTTTTTCCTTAGCTGCTGGACAAGGACACTTAAGCTGCTTGCAATGGTTGATTGAAATGGGAGCTGATTGTGACATTACAAATGAAGCTGGAGAGACTCCAAAGGATGTAGCCAAGAGGTAGCAGTTCAGATCTCTGAGCTGTAATTTATTTGTATAGGGACTGATTCTGCACTCACTGCTTTTATACCACTGTAACTCTGTTGACTTCAGGTAGTGTTACTCCTGATTTACATTGGTGTAGATGAGAGCAGAATCAAGCCCATGAATTTCAACTTTGGGTTATAACAGCCTTTTGGCTCTACTGCTGTTGCAAAGGGTTTTACTGAGGGTATTTATATACCTATTGTAACTAGAGATGGGTCAAATTCTGTATAAGGCAATGTGGCGGGGCGACAACTCACCGGCGCGGCACCTCCTGCTGGTCGTCCTGGGAATTAGCTCTTCCAGCCCAGAGTGCCCTCTGCCAGCGTCTCCCCTGCCGCTGGCCCCTGTGTCCCTCCCGGACCCTGGTGCCCTTTGCTCAGGGGTTCTGCCCACCACAGTACCCCCTTGCTCTGGGTCTCCCCACCCAGGGGAACCCCCAACCCTCTAGCCCCACCTTGCCTCAGTGGCTACTGCCAGTCACCATCTAGCCCCTGCTCACTGGGGCAGACTGCAGTCTATAAACCACTCATCATCGGCAGGGCAGGTTGGACCAGCTGCCTCTGCCTATCTCAGAGCTGCCCCAGTTCCTTTTGTAGGCCTTTAGCAAGGCCTGCAGCCTGGGGTTTTATTAGGCTGGAGCTCCCCAGCTCCCTCTGCCCTTCCCCAGCACTGCTCCACCCTAGGTACCCTGCTCAGCTCCCAGGCAGCCAGGTCCTTCTCTCTCAGGAGCTAGAGAGAGAGTGACTCCTTCTGGCCCACAGCCCTCTTACAAGGGCCGGCTGGGCCCTGATTAAGCTGGCCACAGCTGGGGCTGCTTTTCCAACCAGCCTACCTTTCAGAGCCACAGCCCTCTCCAGGGCTGCTTTTAACCCCTCTTTACTGGAGTGGGGCAGCCACTCCACTACAGGCAAGATGAGACCTGTTTAGTTTAGAAAAGAGAAGATTGAGAGGAGACATGATAGAGGTACACAAAAAAATTACACTGCAGGCGGCCAGCTAGGCACTCCTGTTTACCCTTAAATATAACACAGGTGCTTATTTGATTAAATTAAAAGTCAAAATAAATTTAAAATAACGAAAAGGAAATACAATTTTGCACAACGTATTAAACTGTGCGACTAACTGCCACAGGATATTACTGAGGCAAAAGTGTAGCCTCATCAAAATGGTGCAAAAACCATTTTAGAACACGTGGGGGCTGCTGCTATTGGACATATATTCAAGTGTGTGTGATCTAATCAGCAGTGGAACTCGGGCGGCGTTTTCAGAAGTGCGTGTGTATTTCACTGGATATGAACTATTGACTGTGGTGTGCAGATTCGCCCAGGTGGCAGCTGTGGAGCTTCTGAGACGGGCAATGGGAGACGATTCTGATGAAGAATTAGATGACAGCGATGTAAGGTTTTTCGACAGACATGGCGTGGAAGGGAGCACAGACACCACGGAAGATTTAATTCTGGATGAAGCAAAAAAAAGAGACGCCCGCAGTAAGTTCTGTCTCTCTTTACTGTTTCTTCTCTTGGACAGGTCGGAAGGAATGAGAATCCTAGGATAAAATATTTGTAGTTGCAGAGTTGCTCCCTACGGCTGCAGAATCTTTTGTCAGTACCAATGAGCTTTAAAATATATTGTGGCAATCAAGAAAAATATTTTAATCATGGAAGTTAGAACAGAAGATAATTTAGGCAAATCTAGTCCATCTCTGGAAAGCCAGCACAGGATTGTTCCTTACAGTATTTTTTTGAGTGATGTGTCAGATGTAGTTTTAAATGTATTCAGTAATGGCAATTCTGTTACCTTTCGTGAGAGGCTGTTCCACAGTCTAATAGATCCCACTGCCAAAAAACATCTCCCAACATTCAGAAAACCCAGCATCTTCACGCACATCCTCATGTTAGTTACCCAGAGAACTGTCTTGCAGTAAGAGCCTACCAAAAGATTGAAGAACTTCGGCAACTTCTAGAAATTGCCTACAGCAACTACAAACAGCTGGGAGGAATAACTGTAGAGGAGAGGAAGAAGAAGAAAGAAGAAAGGGAGGCTGAAAAGTAAGATTTAATTAACTCTGTAACGTTTGTAAAATCTGTGGAGATCCATGGATGGAAGGAGCTAGACGAGTGCAACGTATTAGTGTTACTTATTATTGTATTTATTTATTATGTTTTAAATGCAGAACCTATGGTTAAGAACTTATCAGATGGCTACTAGGTCTAAGAAAACCTCAGCAAAGGCATACGTGGGCTTATAGCCACTTCCATAATGTTTACCTAATTCCCCAGTGTCTCATTACTGTACAGAAATGTTCTTTTAAATGTCCTGAGTTTAAAGGAAGTGCAATACTGTCTTGCTATGATTTTGGAATATTAAATGGCGGTGTCACTTTTTGTAGATTATTTCAACTTCCTCCTGGACACCTGGTTACTTACCCAGAGTTTTAAAGGTAGTTACGCATTGCTCCACTCAGTGTCATTGTCAAAAGTGACTTAGGCTCTTAGGATCCTATGTCCCAGGTGCGATGCAGTGCCTAATTATCTTTAAAATCTGGGCCTGAGTCCCTGCGGAGCCACTGTCTCTCTCTCTCTCTCTCTCTCTCTTTCTGTTACAGTCTGTTGGCATCCCTGAGCCAATGTCTCTTGTTAGTCGCTGATAAAAGGTGCGTGTTTGGGAAAGAACTAACTTACAGCAGGATAGCAGATGGACAGCAGGGCTGGCAGAGACTCTGTTGCTTTGGGGGGAGCAAAAGATGTCACCAGTGGGATTAGAAGTATTAATTTAAAACTTTAAAGGATATGACTCAAGAGACTGCTAACAGGGTCCCTTTTCAGCTCTAAGTCAGTGTTCAAATCCATCCACCCAAGGTTGGTAGTGACCGAAAAGTCATGACTATCTTGTTTGGCTTGTGAAAAATGGATTTGTGGTTTCAGTCCAGTTGCATCCACATCACAAAAGCCCCCATTACAACTGCACTGATTGGCTCGTTTGCTGACAATATCTGCAGAGTAACCAAGGACTGAGTGGGCACAGGGAGACTATGCTGTCTCCACACAAAGGATTCCTCCATGGATGTTCCAAGACACACTGGCCGAGCAGCTTGCCCTTGCTATTGCCCCCATGGCCAGTGACCTTTATTCTCCAGGGCTGTTGATCCCTGGCTTTTCATGAGCACTGAATTCACTCCAATGGCTTTTCCGTGCCCACTCGCACATTTTAAACGTTTTGTTTTATAAATAGTTGGGGTGAAATAGGCAAGCAAAGGAGCCACTCAGGCCATAGTTCATCCTAAAGCTCATTGTTTTCCCTTGTCAGCATACAGACTTGGCAACAATCTGGCTCCTTCTGTTCAACACTTGTCAGCAAGGCACTTGGCATCAGGATACCTGCCTCAAATATCACAGTGGCAGAGCAAGTCACTTATGGCCTGATTTTCAGACGTGCTGAGTATCTGCACTTCTCTTGATTTCAGTGGGAGCTCTGGATGCTCCGCATACCTGACAGGCAGGCAAACTCTCAGTACTTCCTTCTGTAAAATGGGGATAATACTTACTATATTTCTTCTGTTTAAATTTACAGAGCCTGTGTGTTTCTAACTTACCCCAGTGTGATTGTGTTGATTATGGTGGCATGAGGGAGAACAGACTCAGACACGGACGTTTCAGTTTGACATTAGACAGCTGGTCACAATAAGAACAATAGGATATGAAATGTGAATGTCTAAACTGAAAAAGGGATTGCTTAGTAGCTCTTGCTGCAGCTTCACCAATAGTAAACCACATACACATTGTGGTTCATCTTCGAATCTCTTCCTTATTTGGGGTTTAGCTTTAGGCTTGGAAACAGTTTAAGGGAACCATCTACTGCTATGCAAGATCTGCCACCTGAGCGCCCATTGTTTAAGGAACCAGTTTGGAAGAACCTTCACCATTTTGTACGAACCCTTGGGTTCTGCAGTTATTTTTCTTGTCCTGTTAGTTGTGGCCAGGAGCTGAGCATGCAGCCTGGCACGTACTTGTAAGGCTCCTAAACTTTTTACTAAGACAACCCATCAATGGCATTTTGTCTCTTTTGGGGATCCATCGTTACCCCTGTTTCCTACTCCAGCCTAGCCTCCAAGGCCTCTGCTCGGCTTCCCCCAGCCCCACCCGTTCCTGTGGTCCCCCAGCAGCTGGGTCGTGATTGCTACCAGGCTGCTGACTATCCACTCGCTGGCTCCGGCTGCTTCCTCCCTGCTGTTGCTGCCCAGGGGAAGTGAGAGCAGCGGGATGCGGGCAGCAGCTGCGCAGAGGAAGGGGCCAGAGCCAGTGATAGGACAGTCAGCAGCCTATCTCTGCCCTCTGCATGCCTTGGAGGCACTTCCTCCGCACTCCTGCTGCCCAGTCCCACTCCCAACGCGAAGTGAGAGCACACAGGGAGAGCAACACCTAGACCAGGGGTGGCCAAACTGTGGCTTGTGAGCCACAGGCGGCTCGTTTACTGTTAAAGTGTGGCTCGCAGAAGGCCCCCCCACTTCTCCACCTACCGGGGGGGGGGGGGGGGCGGGACCTCCGCCTTGCAGTGGGGGGGTGGGGTAGGGGCTTCTCCTGAGCCGAGAGGGGGGGCTCAGGGCTTCTGCCCCATGGGGTGCATGTGCCGGGGCTTCGTACTTCAGCAGGTGAGGGGTTGAAGCCCCAAATCCCGGCAGGCTCTTGAACTTCTGAAGATTGTTGTATGCAGCTCAGAGGGTCAGTAAGTTTGGCCACTCCTGACCTAGACCCTTCCTGCAATCTACTGTTTGGGTAACACTGCTCTACAGGCTGTCGGGTCTGCTCCAGTGTATGGGATGATGTTGCCCTCTAGTGGTTGGTCTATGTTGAGTATAAACTTTAGTACTAGTCTGCTGCCAGCTAAGGGTTATTGTCCTTCAGCTCGGGCCTGTGATGACAGCCGTAGGTTCTGAGTGACTTATCACCCATGAACGTGATTTAGTCTTTACCTATGTAACCCTTCTGCCAGGTGGCATTGGTAGCAACAAGGGCCAGGTTCAATGTCTAGGCGTTTCTCCTAACCACAGAAAATAGAACCATCTTGAGCCCCCACCCAGCAATCTGGAAAACCAACCACGACCCCCAACTGCCTTTAAGCGTCAGTACTTCCCCTCTCATAGGCACTGAGGCTGTGTATAGCAAAGAAAACTTTTAATAAAAAGGGAAAAGGAACCCAGCATTAATTTGAGAAAACCCCACAATCACAATTCAAAACCCCATGACCATGGGCAAACACCCACCCCAGACTACATTGGGCGGTGTCCTTTGCCTCAGTCTCTCACCTTGTGGTGTGAAAGTCTGACATCCAAATGTTCCTCCTGTCTCCCTCCACCCCACCCACAGTTGCTGTCCTTGGTCAGCAAAGACCCAGAGTTCAGCGGTGTGTTCATGTGAGTTCACCTCCCATCCTGGGGTGGGGTGAGGGGAAGGTATGGAGCAATGCCTGACACCGCCACAGTTCACTCTGCTGTCACTGCCTGCTGCTGTTAGCTAGTCTCTGTCACGACTGTCAGTCTCTGCCTCTGCTGGCCGACCTCCTGCTGCCACCACTCTCCGCTGCCTTGTCATGTTCTGAGGTTCCACCACTTAACCCAGCTCTCCGTGATGTCAGCAGGTAGTGAGGAATCTCACTGCTAGAGCAGGCTGTCCAGTCTTTCACCCCACCCATTGTCCCACAGCCGGTCTAAGGCTATGTCTATACTATCACTTATGTTGGCAAAACTTATGTCGCTCAAGGGTGTGGGGAAAAAACATCCCCAAGCAACATAAGTTTCGCCGGCATAAATGTTACTATGCACAGCGCTGTGTTGGTGGGAGAGCTTCTCCTGCCGACGTAGCTACAGCCACTCGTTGGGGGTGGTTTTATTATATTGACAGAAGAGCTCTTTCCCGTCGACATAGAGCAGCTACATGAGAGATCTGACAGCAGTGCACCTGCATCGGTACAGCTGTGACACTGTAAGGGCTCTAGTGTAGACATAGCCTAAGTGATTTCAGCTTCAGTGATCACAGAACAAAACAAGGATTCTCAACTGAGTCTAATCAGTTCTGTCTTTAAACAGTGCAGAGATGAGAGGAGGGTCAACTGGTGTCAAACTCCTGAGGGAGAGCCAACATTACCAGGTAGAAACACCTGTCCCAACTCTCTTTCCACTTCACTGGGTTTATCATCCCTACCCCCTGCTTAGCAAGTGAGGTTCAATTTAGGGTAACCCCCCCCAATCAAGGGCAGGTTAAGTACAGTTCTGCTGCCCTTTACTCGTACAATAAGAATAACATTTCATTACTCCTGCTTTCAATACTTCAGTGCTTTCACTATAAATATATGCTTTCTATATAAATCCATGGTACACTCACATCTTGAATACTGTGTGCAGATCTGGTCACCCCATCTCAAAAAAGATATATTGGAATTGGAACAGGTTCAGGAAAGGGCAACAAAATTGATTAGGTGTACAGAACGGCTGCTATATGAGGAGAGATTAATAAGACTGGGACTTCTTAGCTCGCAAAAGAGACGCCTAAGGGGAGATATGATAGAGGTCTATAAAATCATGACTGGTGTGGAGAAAGTAAATAAGGAAGTGTATTTACCTCTTCACATAACACAAGACCCAGGGGTCATCAAATGAAATGAAGAGGCAACAGGTTTAAAACAAACAAAAGGAAGTATTTTTTCACACAATGCACATTCAATCTGTGGAACTCTTCGTCAGAGGATGTTGTGGAGGCCAAGACTATAACACAGTTTAAAAAAACAACAACCCCAACCTAGATAAGTTCCTGGAGGATACGTCCATCAATGGCTATTAGCCAGGAGGGGCAGAGATGTAAAACCATGATCTGAAGTGTCCCTAGCCTCTGTTTGCCAGAAGCTGGGAATGGGCAACAGGGGATGGATCATTTGATGATTACCTGTTCTGTTCATTCCCTCTGGGGCAGCTGGCATTGGCCATTATCAGAAGATAGGATGCTGGGCGAGATGGACCTTTGGTCTGACCCAGTATGGCTGTCCTTATGTAAAGTGATTTGTAACTCCCCACTAGTTAAAACTGATCACTTTGCAAAGCAGCTCCATCGGCTGCATACCTAGCTGGAGTAGGTGTGTCTATGCAAATACGGTCTGTTCCTGAAGTCTTCGTCCCCAGCTCATCACTAGATGTCAGGGGAGAGTTCATTCAGACCCAGCTTACATCTATGTAGACCTGGCTTCTTACAGCAGCAAAGAATTTCTCTCTCTTCTCCCCACCTAGTGCGGTAGCTGAGTAGGATTCCAATTTAGAGTTCCCCATGGTGTGAGGTCAGGCACTGGCTAATGTATGTAGTGTTTTTCCATAGTCCCAAAGAGATTTCACACTCATCAGAGCAGGGAGCATGTCTCCCTCGAACTCTTTTACAACACAGAGCACGCTATTGGTGCTTAAATAATCATCTGAGCTGATAAAAGGCCACCAAGGTTTGGAATGTGGCCTTCCTGTATTTATGCTGGTGTTGGCAGCAGGTGCTGGGGACCCTGTACTCCTTCCTGGAGCAGCAGGAAGGGCAGTTCCAGGTGTATCACCCCCAGGCCCCCATAAGCTATCTTGCCCTGTAGCAGCAGGACAGTGCCTGCACCCTCCTTTTGGGCCACCACAGAGTAACAGAGGCAGGAGCTGACATAGTTAACAGCATTTCATCAGACTTGGCTTGCCTGATTTTTGCGTTTGGCAGGATGATTAGAGAGCTGGAGGCCCAGCTGGAATACGAGCGAGTCCGTCGAGAGAAGCTGGAGCGTCAGCTGGATGAATACCGAGCAGAGACAAGCCACCTCAAAGAGTGTCTGGAGAAACTGCAGCTCACACCCACCACCTCTGGGGTGAGTGTCTGCCCTCAGGTGACTGCTTTGGGGAATGTGTGAAAAACAACATGAAAAGGTAAAAGGTTCATTAGCAACATATAGCTCAGTTGCCGCAAAGACACCAGCAGCATCTGTTGTGTCCACCTGGGTCAGCACCTCCAAAGAGCAAAGAGGATGCTCAGACAGGAAGGATTGCTCTTCTTTACAGCCACCATTTGTAGCCGGACAGGTGCACAGCTATCTTCCTTGACGTTAGTATTGGCCATAGGCCTGGGCCCAACCCCCTAGATATGAACAACATGGAACTCTGGTACATGATAATTGCCCCACAGGCTGCTTCAGAAAGTGTGGGGAAAAAAGCCAACTCCCCTCCTCCCCAACAACAACAGACAATTATGTGAGAGCCCTGGCATATACCACAGAATCCACCCCTTGCTACAGAACTCTGGTCCACAATCCCTGCTTTCTTCCCCATAGTTTCTAGCCCTGCAGGTAAAGAAAACCTTTCCACAAAAACAGAGTATAAGTCAGGGGTGGGCAAACTTTTTGGCCCGAGGGCCACATCGGGGTTTTGAAACTGTATGGAGGGCTGGGTAGGGAAGGCTGTGCCTCCCTAAACAGCATGGCCCCCACCCCCATCCACCCCCTCTCACTTCCCACCCCCTGACTGCTCCCCTCAGAACTCCCGACCTATCCAACCCCCTATGTTCCTTGTCTCCTGACCGCCCCGTTCTGGGACCCCCTGCCCCTAATCGCTCAGTGGTTTGAGCATTGGCCTGCTAAACCCAGGGTTGTGAGTTCAATCCTTGAGGGGGCCATTTAGGGACCAGCAGGGGACAAAAAAAACCTGTCAGGGACAGTACTTGGTCCTGCTAGTGAAGGCAGGGGACTGGACTTGATGACCTTTCAAGGTCTCTTCCAGCTTTGAGATAGATAGGCCCCCCTGGGACCCCACCCCCTATCCAACCCTCCCTGTCCACTGACTGCCCTGACCCCTATCCACACCCCTACCCTGACAGGCCCCCTGGGACTCCCACACCTATCCAACTCCCCCATTCCCCATCCCCTGACTGCGCCCCAGAACCTCCTGCCCCTTATCTAACCGCCCCGCTCCCCACCATAGTGCTGGCGGCACAGTGAGCTGAGGCTGCGGGGGAGGGGCTGGGAGCTCCGGGGCCGGGCAGGGTGGTCCTGCGGGCTGTAGTTTGCCCACCTCTGGTATAAATCAATGCAGTGTTATATTCTGGAGCATGTAGACAGCCTGCTACACTAGCTAAGTCAGGTGTGAACTGCTCCCATGTCTTAACTCTGAAGCCAATGATGGCAATTTAAATTTCACATTAACTATTTCACTAGTGTAGCAGAAAAACCAAGATAATGTGTTTACTGCACAATCCCAAATCTGCCTTCTCAGGTAGCCAAAGCCCCAGCATTCCCCATTCAGGCAGCTTAAATCTCCATCTGCCTCCCACCACTATAGAGGAGTTATGCATTTTCAATACAACATTCGGCAAAGAAATGAGAACTGAAGGGTCAGGAATAGGGTAAACTAAATAGACCACAGGCACATTCCCAGCTCCCACCTCTCCTGTTTGGCTAAGGCGGAATAAAGGACTCTCATCCCCAGGGACTGAAGGGCTAAGTACTACCCATTTCTAGCTTCACTATTGTTTTGTGTGCACAGAGCCTTGCCTGAAACTTGCCAGCAGAGTTCCACATAGATCAATGAACCCCTGGTTTAATTCTTCCACTGTCATCTTCTGGCCAGAGGCTAATATTACATCACAATTGCAGTTAGAAATGTTCAGTTATTGTGTATGTCACATTTAATTCATTATGGCTTCTATAATATTATTTGTAGATTGTAGCACCTAGGCTTGTGAGGCATGGATCAGGACCCAGTGGTGCTAGGCACTGCACAGACACAGAACAAAGACAGTCCCTGCCCGAAAGAGCTTATAATCGATCTATAAGAGAGAGACAACAAGTGGATCCAGACAGATGGGGAATCACAAGGAAACAATGAGAAGTTTTTGTCCACATGGTAGTTAGTGGTCTCAACTCACCAGCACCCTAATCTTATGCATCAATATGCAATTTCATGCTGATGCCTGATTAACAGCATCAGAGACCAAGTTCTTCATTTACCCGCACGGCAGATATTGCACAGACTGCAGCAGCAGAAGCTTTCCCACACTGCTCTGTCCCAGGCCTCAGCCCTAACTTGGAGCTGCCCACTGTTTCTCATGGTGAGACGTTAGCTGAGTCTCCATGGGCCTCTGTTGAGACTGGCAGCAAGACTAGGCAATTAAGAAGGAGTGGGTTTTATGTGGATACCCTCTCACCTGGAAATCCCACTCATGTCATAGCCACCGATGGCTATAAAATTGCTCCATGTCTGTGCCCAACCCTAATCTGTGTCCCCTTCAATCTCACTATGCCACAGGCCCCATTGATAACTGCATTCACCCCATTGCATAACCTGCATTCATAACTGTCCCATTTCTCACTAATCCCCATGCTTTCTAGCTCATAGCGAATCCCACATCTCTTCAACTAGCTTCGCTCAACCCTACTCTTTTCATGACTGCTTCTACTCCTCTCATGCCCTCCCCCTGCCTTCCCCTTCATGGCTGCTTCCCCACTTCTCTCCCCCACCCACAGCTGCCCCCACACACTGCCCCGACCTTTGCATCCTATATAAACTCCTCTCCTTGCCTGCTCCCCCTCCCCCCAGTGCTGCTGAAAAGCCACCACTTTCTGCTTCCATGACATAACCCCAGAGCATGGGCTAGGACACCAGCTTACCAGGGAGTTTTGGAAAACCTGGGGCTACTCTAGCAGCTGTATTAGTCCATTTAACTCAACACAGCTACGAGGGGTGTATTTTACTCCCTTATATCAGTTCTCTGAAAGGGCACAATTGAGCTGCAGTTTAACAGGGGTAGCCACTTCAATAGCTTCTCAGACAGGGGAGCGGGAACTTCTTCCACTGAGGCAGATTCATTTTCAAATCCACCTCTGTACCAGACTGAGGGGTCCTTTCTGGTTTCACGCTGCTATGCTCCACTAGAGAACTCTGCCGCCTCTAACCCACGTCAGAGGTGAGCGATTGAGCTTTCATCTTTGGAATTTCCCATCTCCTCCTGCTTGGCTCCAGACTTAAACCAACGTAGATAGCAACCGAGACAGTCCCAAGTACAGCAGTAAACCAGGGCAGCATTGCTAGCATCTTGTCTGACCCTGTAAATGCTGGCATGCTGTACCTTGACTAAAGTACCACATTTGTATTCTTTGTCTTATCCATAGCCTCATGAATCAAAATGTCAAAACGCTACCGGTGAAATTGATATTCTTGCTAATATTTCATTTTGATATAGACCTGACTCAACTTTCAGGGGTATTTCAGGCTCCACTAACATTGAGGGGCTGGGTGAATGCGCTGGTTTAATAAAAACTGCTTAAGGCCCCAGTTCTATTTCAGTCACTGGGATACGCAGAGATAATGCAATCTCTGAGTGCCACACAAACGTCCCTGTTGCCCCCACTCAGCAATGGACCTTCTCGCTTAAAGAAAAAACAAAAAAACAGGTAATTTTTGAGAAAGTTCCCAAATGCCTATAGTATTTTAAGTGCCTCTAATGAAAAGAACAAGCTTGGGTTTGAAACTGAGACTTGGTTGTTAAGGACAAACACCAAAGTATTAATGACTGCTCAGAATGAAGTGTTATATCTGTGGCACTTACAGTATACTCTGCAGCCTTCTCGGTGCCCTGCGGACAGCACTGAACCATACCATAGCTGAAATAAAAGTTCTGTTCAGTTTGCATCACGACACTTTTTCAAGTCTTCAGCCCTCTCTTAAAACACATGACAGGAGCAGGAAGCTGAACATCTATGAGCTGTAGATGTATCTATCCCAGAAAGGGAGTGTTGTCTAATAGGGAGATGGCACCTCTATTGGCTTTATTCCTCACCTAGCAGGGGGCAGGCAGATCAGACCAGCTAGTTAGCGGTGAAGACATTGCTGGCAGGGTGGCTGGAGGGAGAGGAGGAAAGAAAAGTGAGATATAAGAAACAGGTCATTCCAGTGGCTTGTTTTCCAAACGACAGGCTCAATAACTGGGTGTTAGAATAAGCCATGATCCTCTATTACTATATTTCTTATCCTGTAAGACAGCATTTTGTGACTGTTCAAAGGAGTTTGTGGTTTAAAATCCTCCCTTGCTAGGGAAGCAGGTGTAGGTGAGTGACTGCAATTTAATGGCTTTTATATTTTTTTTTTAGGAAGGGGAGGCTGCCTCTGATTTAGGCAAAGAAAAAAAGAAAATGAAGAAAAAGCCACCAGGCAGCCCAGGCGGAGTGTTTGTGAGACGCTACTGAGGCGCGAATGGAGCGTTGCTGTTTTGCATCCATCTTGTCAGACTGACAGAATTAGAGAAGGGCGTTCACACAGGAAATGCAATGCTCTCGAATAGTGACAGGACAGGGCCATATCAGACAATACTGCCATGAGCTAAACTCATGCCAAACAAGGGTTACCTTTTATTCCTGTCTGAAAGTTCTCTATATAAGTCACATTCTGATATTTCACTAGAGGGAGTGGAAATGTTATGTAACGGCACTGGTAGAAGGCAAGCCTCAAGATACTACAGAAGTGTGCATATAGTACATTTGCAGCTTAATGCTGTACACCACGTATGGTTTCTGATCCTCGTAGTTTTAACTAGGTATGTACCTGTTTCTTTGCTTAAAGATAAATCTTAGTGTGGAGACATACTCCATTTTCTGAAATGGTGAATTTTTTTTCCCTTTCTGTACTGGCACATGGTAGTGACTGGTTAGCAAATCATATAGGGTAAAGTTTTCAAAAGCATTTAAGTTCAGTTTTCAGAAGTGAGCTAGGCTCTTAAGTCCCTTTGACTTTCAATGAAAATTAGGAGCTTAAGTGCCCAAATCGCTTTTGAAAATTTTTACCCATAATGAATAAATGGTTTTCATCATATACTCAGAAGATAGAAACTTAAGTACTTTTACAGAGAGTGGCTCTAACTCAGGGGTCTCAAACTCAAATGACCACGAGGGCCACATGAGGACTAGTGCATTGGCCCCAAGGGCCGCATCACTGACACCCCCCCTCGCTGCCCCCGGCCCTGCCCCCACTCCACCCCCTTCCATGAGGCCCTGCCCCTGCCCTGTCTCTTCTCCACCTCCTCCCCTAAGCGCGCGGCTCCCTGCTCCTCCCCCTCCCTCCTGGAAAGTGCTAAGCGCCACCAACAGTAATGCACCTCACTCAAAGGACAAAACACGCACTTAGTTAGATTTATTTCTGTTAAAGCCCCCCCACTGCACTGGGCTGCACCACCACTCCACCCCTGCTCTGCTTCTTCCAAGGGTGGCAGGTTTGTAGAAATTTTGGTGATGCCCAGAACCTGCCCCCCCCCCCAAACTCCACCCCCACCTGCCTAAGGCTCTGGGATGGCGTTTGGGTGCTGGGTGCAGGCTCCGGGCTGGGGTGGGGGGTGAAGGCTCTGGGATGGAGTTTGGGGATAAGAGGGGGTGCAGGGGTGAGGGCGGTGGATGAGGGGTTTGGGGCATTGGAGAGGCTCAGGACTAGGACAGAAGGGCAGCCTGCCCTGGCCATAGTGGAGGGGGGCACTAGGACCCTGCAGCAGCAGGTGATGCGTGGAGTGGAGTCAGCATGAGCTGCAGGCTCCGGGCGGTGAGGGGGCAGCAAGTGAGCCCGGGGGACACTCAGCGTAGATGCGCGGGGGCAGCAGGCGGGGCCAGGGGAGAGACCCGGCCCCAAACATTGGGGAGCAGCGAGCAGGGAGCTTAGCTGCCACATAAAATAACCCGGGGGGGGGCGTGCGCGGGGAGCTTGGCGGGCCGCAGGGAAGAGCCCCGCGGGCCACGTGTTTGAGACCCCTGCTCTAACTGAACCTCCAGACCAAGTATTCTTGTTTATCCAAACTCTTCCATGTCTTTCACTAAGACATAGACATTGACATCTTTCATATGTCACTTATATGAAAAAGTAATTCAAATGACAAAAGGAAAAGAGGACAATATATACACCCTACAAATACCTGCTTGTGTAAATAATCAGGCTGTGCCAACTCCTCATATGGTCATCACTTAACAGCAAACTCCCTTACACTGATTTCACTGAATGAGGAATAAGGTTTCAGTTAAAGGGGAACAAAGGAGTTGACAGTTTTACTATCCAGACCACTCAGACACTCAGGACCAAATTACAGCTGTGTAAAAAACACTGATACCAACAAGACTAGAGCAGTCAGAGGAAGGAGAATTTGGCCCTTAGTTGTGATTGTGCTGCATTTGCAATACTTTATAATCCAAAGTGTCACATAAAGTAGCTATACTTCTGAATTAAAACATTCATAGAACAATCCTGACTTTTGGCTGGTCTGTACAGAGGTATTAAATATAAGCTCAGATTTCACTCTACAAATGAATTAAATGTAGCAGGGATATGCTCAAAGAGGCTCTTCCTCACAATCTCTTGTGAAAATCCTGCTATCAAACTGAAGGGAAGGTTAGGGTGATTTCCCTGCATTTGAGGGAGTTCACTTTTCTGACTAATCACCCGAGGCTGACACTACTTTTCCTGAGGGGTCATCAAAATACTGTCAAAAGAGAAAATCTTTTGCCTTTTGAACACATATTACATCAAAGGGCAGGTATTTTCCAAAATATTTTCTGCAGCCCTCTGACAACTCTACAACCTATAGCTCCCTCACCCAAACTTAGTACAAGAAGCCAAAACCTGGACACTATTACCAATATACGTAGAATAGTTTTCAGGAATATATAAAACAAAACACACACGTCCAGCAAATGCATTTAATACAGCGGTGCTGCCTCCTCCCACAGTAGTTAGGAGAAATCAGCTTTGTTTGAATGGGAAAACAAACGTATAGGCTCCAGTCCCTAATGTCTGAGGATATACTTGCCCTGGATACAAGGTTAATCACAGGCTAAGGGGAAGTTTTGTGGAGAGGCCCTTGTAGCACGTCGCAGCAGGTCAGGAAAATACACCATAAAACGTAGGCCCCAAGCATACAACTTGCTGCCCAATGACTCACGTTGACTTCAACACTTTGCTGGAATGGCCATTTATTTTGCAAAAGTAGGATAAGCAGTGGAGAAAGACCTTTTAAATTTAACTCCAGCACTCCATATACAAAGATTCTGCAGAATCAAGAAAGAAACAAGCCAAGAAAACACAACTCTGAAAGCTGAGGGAAGCTGGTGAATAAAATAGAAGTTCTATGACAGAAAACATACAATAATCAGACAGAAAATTCCAAACAGCTAATGCTCCGTAGATCCCAATTTACCTCTGCAGCCATTAAGCCCAAGCCTGCCATCAGGCTGTTCTCAAAACTTACATTGGTTTTAATGAGAGTGCTGCACATGGAAATAACACATATTCCATTCAACAAACTTGTATTTCCAGAGTAGAAATTTACTCAATTCCATGCCATTAGGGAAGACTAACAAATGATTATGAAGGGGGAACAAAGTGTTGCCTTTCATGCAAGGAACAGTCATGTACGGGGGAAGGAATGTTTAAGGAACAGGAGGTGATGATTGCTCTATTCTGAGGATTCTTTGGGTAATAAAGATTCTTCTTCTAGTGCTTGCTCATATCGATTCCAATTAGGTGTGCGCGCGCCGCGTGCACGATCGTCGGAGAATTTTCTACCCTAGCAACACCCGGTGGGTCGGCTGTGGAGCCCCCTGGAGTGGCGCCTTCATGGCGCTGGATATATACCCCAGCCGACCCAGCGCCCCCTCAGTTCCTTCTTACCGCCCTTGACGGTCGTTGGAACTGTGGAGCGCGGCATAGCTGTTCTCCACTCTCCCTAGCTTATCCTGTCAATTCTTGTAGATAGTTGTACTTATAGTTGTTGTATAGTCTTTAGATAGTTATTCATTTTAGTTTTGTAATAGTTGTAAATAGTTAGCGGGGGTTAAGGGGGTTGTTCTCCCCCCTTTTTCCCCCGGCGCATAGCCGGGCTCATGCCCAAGGCTCCTGGCTTTAAGCCGTGCGCGTCCTGCGCTAAACCTATGCCTACGAGTGATCCGCATGACTCCTGTCTGAAGTGCCTCGGAGAGTCCCATCAGGCAGATAAGTGTCAGATCTGTAAGGCCTTCAAACCAAGAACCAGAAAGGAGCGGGACTTCAGGCTTAGGCAGCTCCTCATGGAGGCGGCACTTAGCCCGGATCCTCCCTCGGCGCGCCCAGCCCCGGCACCGAGCGCCTCGGTGCGCAGCGCCCCTGCGGCACCGACCGGTACTGCACCGCGGGCTGAATCGGACAAGCCCTCACGGCACCAGCCTCCTTCGGCACCGCGCCCGCCACAGGGGCCGCGGCGCCGGTCCCTGTCTCCGGGCACAAGAAGTCCCGTAAGGCGCAGGAGACTGCTGTCCTGAAGACGCCGGCTGCCCCGGTGCCGGGGGTAGAGCCGCGTCCACCTTTGGACCGCCAGAAGCAAGTCCCTGCTACACCGTCTACTCCGAAACCGTGGCCGTTAAGTCCGGTGCGCACCGAATCACCACCTCGGTCGGTGGTGGAGCCTTGTCTTCCTTCCACCCCGGAGACGTTCGCGACTGCCAGAGACCTTATTGCTCTCACGGAGCCGGCACCGCCTCTACCTCCGGCACCGTTGGCTCCCCGCGCAGTACAATCCAGGGGCAAGCCTGCCCTGCTGCGCCCGCCGTCTCCGGCCGTGGACTCCTGGCACCGCTCCAGATCTCAGAGCAGGTCCCGACGCCGCTCGCAGTCCCGGCGCTGACTATCACCTCGGCACCGGTCGTACTCGCGGGCAAGATCTTCGCGGCACCGCTCTACGTCTCGGCACCGTCACGATCATCGGTACCGATCGGACTCCAGACGTAGTTCTCGGCACCGGTACGAGCGTCGCTCGAGTTCGAGGGGCCGCTCCCGGTACCAGGTCTCGTCGCGGTCGTTGTCCCGCTCAAGATCCGGATCTCGGCACCGGCAGGGCTACCGGCACCGATCCCGATACCGCTCACCGGCACCGCGCAGGGACCGATCACCTTACGACCAGCACCGATCGGCACCGTACCATCCGGAGCCGGTTTCGACACGCTCGGCACCGCCTTGGCCCTCGAGATCAGCATCTCGTTCCTCCGATGGGGCCTCCAGATCGGCATACCCTCCTCAGGGTCAGGCTGCTACGGCTGACTTGGGCCACTGGCAGGAGGTGGCCGAGAACCCTGCACAGGGACCTGCGCACTGGTCGTTCTGGACCCCGTGGGCCTATCATCAGGCGCAGGGGGCTGCACCATCAGCCTCTCGCTCGGCGTGTTCTGAGCCCAGGGTCCCGGAG